AATTTCTAACATGGTATCAGAGCTATAAACTCTTGGTTCTTCTTTTATCATTGCTTTTTTGCTATTACCTCCTTATAGGAGCCTTAATCCTACTAAGAGGCCTATTCTAACCCTCTTTGGCAACAAATTATGCAAGATGAATTGCAAGCTCTTTACAAAACTTGTACATGGGATTTAGTTGATCTTCTTGCTAGAAAGCTTCTGGTAGGTTATAAATGGGTGTACAAGATCAAAACTCGGCCTGATAGTTCCGTGGAGTATTACAAGGCTCGTTTGGTTGCTAAAGGATTTACTCAGGAATATGGGATTGATTATGAGGAAACCTTTGCACCTGTTGCTTGTCTTACTTCAGTTCGTAGTTTAATTGCTATTGCTATTGTAAAAAGATGGAAATTGTTTCAAATGGATGTGAAAAATGCCTTTCTAAATGGTGATCTTATATAAGAAGTTTACATGACACCACCTACTGGACTTGAGCATCATCCAAACAAAGTTTTTCGATTGAAGTGAGCTCTGTATGGTTTGAAACAAGCACCTTGAGCCTGGTTTGTGAAGTTTAGACCACCATCAGTGAATTTGGTTTTACTTCTAGTCCTCATGATACTACACTATTCATACGTAAGACTAATCATGGTATAGTTCTACTACTTCTTTATGTTGATGATATGATCATTACAAGGGATGATATTTCAAGTATTCATGATCTTAAGTAATTTCTTAGTCATAAGTTTGAGATGAAAAATCTTGGTGTTTTGAGTTATTTTTTAGGACTTGAGGTCACCTCTTCTGATGATGGTTATCTTCTCTCTCAAACAAAATATGCTTCTAATCTTATATCTAAAGCTAGACTCACTGACAATAAGACTGCATCTACTCCTCTTGAGCCCAATGTTCGACTTACATCCATGGATGGTTCTCCATTAGCTAATCCCACTCACTACAGACAATTGGTTGAAAGTTTGATTTATCTCACTACAACACGACCAAACACAGCTTATGCAGTTCATGTTGTTAGCCAGTTTATGGCAATGCCTCGCTCCACTCACTATGCAGCAGTACTTTTTATTATTTGGTATATTAAAGGTACCATGTTTCATGGACTTCACTTTTCTACTCATTCATCTCTTGAGCTTCGTGCTTACTTTGACATTGATTAGGTTGGAGACTCTAATGATCGTAAATCCACCATTGGATATTGTCTTTTTCTTGGTGATTCCTTAATCTCTTGGTGTAGCAAGAAGCAGATAGTTCCATCACATTCTAGCATAGAGGCTAAATATCGAGCACTTGGAGATGCCACATCAGAGTTACTTAATTTACGTTGGCTACTAAAGGTGTTTCTCAATCGCCTGCTACTAATCTCTATTGTGACAATCATAGTGCCATGCAGATTGCTCATAATGATGTCTTCCATGAACGCACTAAATATATTGAGGTTGACTGTCACTTTGTTCGCCGTCATGTTGCACAAGGAGTTATTCATTTGGTTTTTATTGGTTCCCCTGATCAACCAGCAAACCTTTTCACTAAGACTCATTTTTTTGGACGCTTTCGTACTCTTCTTTTCAAACTCAAATTGGTTTCATCACAACTATCTTGAGTTTGAAAGGAGATGTTAAGATATGAATATAATCATTTAGATTATATTCACACTTATTATAAATATTTTATACTTTAAAATATTTTCTTGATATACTTTATATTTTAAAATATTCTCTTTATAAACACATATATCAAGGTCATTGTACATACAGTATTATTCAAGAAAAGTAATAAAGTTTTCTTCAAATATTTCTCCTTCTTTTTCAATTTCTAACACTGCCAAATGTTTTTGCATTGCCATATTGTCTTAATAAAGGGCATTGGCAAAAGACGAGAGCTTTAATTATATATATATATAATTAATTCATCACTGAGTTTGTTTAACAAGTGCTAAAAAGTGCTACCTAATTATAAATCAAGAAATCTTTTTTTTTCTAGTTCTGATTTTAGTTTTCGTATTAAAGTGTTCAAGGAGGTGAGCTCCCCCTCCTCAATAATATATGTATCAAAATATTGAATAACAATCACATGCAAGTTTTGTTTGATAATATTTAGAATTAATCTTTTTTTATGAAATATATTATTTAGAAATATAAATTTTTTAATTATTTCAATTAACTTTATATAATTTTATCAATTTAAATTAATATTTTTATTTTAAAATAATAAAAATAAAAAATCATCACAACGCTAGCAAACAAAACTTTAATTGCATTCCGTGTAACATTTTTTTTTTAATAATGAAAAATTTTATTAATAAAAAGTATAAGAGGTAAGAGGTACTTCAAGTAACGTAAATGCTTCTAAGGAATTTAATTTCGCATAGGCAGCCCATTTTTCCACTTTCGAACACTTGGATCCTTATTTACATTTCATTAGAAAAATATTTCTTCCGAAAACCGAGATGGGTGCTTAGGTTTGGTCTGGTAGTACTTAGCCATAGTTAGCTTAAGGTTTTTTATCTTTAGTTTTTTATTTTTTATTTTTTATCTTCAAAATATATAAAATATATTTATTATTTATTTTAATTAATATTTTATATATTTTTAAAATAACAAAAAATTATAATAACTAAAAATTATAATATTAAAAAGTAGTTCCAAACGAAGCCTTAATATTCACCAATAATAAAAAAAAAAGGAAATGGAACTATTACTCAACAAGGGATGGGTAGAAAAATCTGCAATCATAAAAATATTTAAAAGTAATTGAAATTATAATCAACAGATTAAGTTTAATTGAATTATAAGTTCTTTTAAACTAAAATTCAAATTGAAATGATTTTTAACTGTTTAAATTTTAGTTATTAGGTCTGAAAGTCAACAAACTGAAGACTAGGGTAAATATAACAAAAAAAGAATTTGATTAAAAAACTTTTTATAAATTATTTTAATAATTTTAAAATTGTTTTAAGATTTTCTCATTATTTTTTTACTAAATTATTTATTTAGGTAATTTTTATTT